CATCCAAATTGATTGTACTTAAAAAACAAATTATTTTTTTTACAGTGAATGATGCTGAAAATTCAGCTTTGCCACCACACAATTACATTTCAAATATACTAAAAGAGAAAACAGTTATTTTAAATTGTAATAATATTTCACAATATTACTGTATGTTTTAGTGTATTAAACTTTTAAACTAGTGTACATCCAATAGAATGTAATGGATTTAAATGTAGTTTTGATGCATTCACGTTTAAGCTCTGTCCACATCTGGTTCTATCGGAATTTGGTTACAGAAACAAAGAATTTTATTATTGTAATGGATAAATATAATGGCTTTACTGGACATGCGTACTACTGACAATCCTGTGGCGTGAAAGGCCGCAGCCAGGAAAAAAATACAAATCAGTATTAAAAAATCTGTTACTGGTAAAACATCTAAACTATTATGACATATTACTGGTTTGTTTTTCTACTAATACCATATGAGTTTTGGTTACCAATGTCATTGTAAAAATGCACTATTAGTAACACGGAAGTGTCCGATAATAGGAAGGTTACCAAGATGAAGCGATAGCCACTGGTCATGTGATCTCAACAGGGCAACCTCCATTAGGTGACCTGCACCATATAAAATAAACCAGCTTTTATTAAGCTACTGGTATGACTGGAGCCTCATCTCAAACCATTTTTTTTTTTTTTTTATCAGGTTTATCTTACAGGTTTATAATGGCATGAAGGTTCACTTTTGTGTGCTCTGTCCCTTTAAGGCTGAAGCATTTTCAATGAGAAAAAAAAAATGACTGAGCGCACCTTTAAGCTCACATCTGTGTTAGGCCATGATTGTGTCTCAGGACAAGTGAAACACACCATTACACTGAAACATAAGGCTATTATCATGATACATTCACCTAGTGTTGCGGGAAGAGAGAGAGACGAACTAAGAGAGGAAAGAGGCAGCTGGTCTTCACTCCAGGTTGCAACTCAGAGCAATTAGAGCAGGCAGATGGCTAAATGGCCGAGAAAAAAACCCTCCAACTCCAAACGACAGTGACAAGTGTGCCAGGAGCACAGAGATTCTGACCCCGTCAACTGAAAGAGAAAGAGAGGGAAAGGGAGGAAAAGGACAGAATCTAGGGCACAGCTACTTCTGGAAGAAAACGTCTATTGTTGCATTAACAGGCACATTTCTAGGGTCACCTGCGGATGCTGATACACACACACTCACACACACCACTGAGAGGAATTCTACTTGCTGAATACCTTTATCATGACACCAACTCTTTCGGTTTCACTCCCCCCTCTTCCACAAAGTGTGCTCTTGGTTAAATTTTAACCTGTTGAGATATGAGATCTGTTGCGTTGGTGTAAACAAAGAGGCTTTTTGAGAGCAAAGTTCCTAAGGCTAAACTATGCCGAGACAGTCAACTTCATAACCTAAAGGGAAGAAACTGGAATACGAACTCTACCACATTCTTTTTTTATAGTGCGTGTGGTTTATTTCTGACTTGCGTAAAAACAGGTTTCAGTGATGCATCTGAATGCGAGACAAACAAAACTGAGACAAAATAATGACTTTGGAAAATGTTCCATAATGAAGGCGTTTTTGATTTCGTCATCAATAAAGACAAAATCAAGAATGTGCTTCATAACCATAATTAAATCATTAATTAAAACATACTCCTGATAAAAATATGACGTGGCGGGAAAAAATATTATAGGATACTAATGCACTAACAAAAAGTCTAGAATATGACTGATCAAAATCATCCAATCATTAAATGTTGAAGATTGCCTCACACGAGCTGTATGAGCTGAAGCTGAATCGCAAATGAACACCAGTAAACTATGAAAGCCCGTTTCTGCCATGAAAAAAATAATAATAATTAAAAAAGTCAAAATTGTGTGATACTGTAAAAAGTTGCAATTACCTTTTTTGAGTTAACATCATGAAATTCACTTTCTCAGCACGATTTTCTGACTTTATTTCTTGCAATTTTGAGTTAACAAACTCAGAACTAAAGACTTTTTTTTTTTTTTTACATCTCACAGTTATCAGTTCAGAATTCAATATTATTGAATCTTATTTTTTGTTAGTGTGAAAGCTAATATAGCTATCACTATTGTTATGTTACTTGGTCGTCACATTCACAAACTTGTATTAGTTTGATTTAGCATGTTTTCCTTTCAACAAAAACATTATTTTCAACTAATATTAGATGCCTTAACTGCGTGAAAATGATGTTTTGCCCAGCGTACCTACAGTACATGCTTTACAAAGGGCAAAGATGTAAAAATAGAGCTTTATGTGGATGCTTTGTGCCGCTCTCTTGCGCAGCCCATTTAGCTCTATTTCAGCTGGCGGTGTGATCTGTGACAGGTTACTTATCACCTAACTATACATTCACAACCCAGAAACCTGACTGAAAACATTGCAAGAAATGATTGAGCCCCAGAGCATTCAGCACATACCAAGATCAGTCAAATATCGGTAAGACTTTAATAAGCAACCAAATAAAAAAAAAAGACAAAATTACAAAGACTGCGAAAACATTCAGACAACCAAAATAAATCCTAAAAGCAACGCAAGGCGATAAAGCATTTAGTAGTATAGATGTGTTTTCTGTGTGTCCATGAGAGTTCAAGAGCTCAGCTCAACAGTTTACAGCACAAACACGTTACAGGCATCAATAAACCACTCCGAATAAAAAACAATTAAAGCACAGATCATTTAAAAAAAATAGAAAATAATAAACAACAGTAAAATCAACAGATACAAAACTCAATAGCACTTTACAATATGGTTCAATATGTTAACATGAGTTAATGCACTAAGTAACACAATAACAATGAACATTTTTACAGCGTTTATTAATCTAGATTAATCTTCATTTCTGCATATACTAATATATTTTTAAGATTTCAAGTTGTTTAAATGAACATTATCACTAACCTAGGTTAATAAATGCTGTAATACATTTGATTCAATGTTAGTTAATGATACCTAATGCATTAAAAATGCGAACAAATTCAACATTATTTTAAAGCGATACCAATTAAACCAATTAAAACTAGGTATCCTTCATGCTCTCAGCAGTGAAGTACAATACACAAGGATGTGACATTACCGTTTAGTCTTATATCATGTTTATATATTTATATTATGTACACAGGAGGAATGGTTTGTGACTGGTGACATTAAGGCTTTTAAATGTGTGCATGTGTTTACCAGAACATCGAAACCAGACAACGAGAAACGACGACTTGAGGAGACGTAACATCACGACTCCACACTCTCTGGAAATCTACTTATACCGTTTCGGCATCTCAGAGGATACTTCCTTAATATTCTCAAGGCATCCGTTCCTTCATTACGGAATTCCTGGTGGAGACGTTGAGCTGGAAGGTCAGTGCGTTCTCCTCTAATGAGGAGCTAAAGCGTTCTGCCTCTCAGAGCACGAGTGACGAAATCACTTCCTCTACTCACACATTCACTGATTGTGGTCTGACCTTTCAATCAGGATGTAAACTAAGCTGCGCCGAAACCCCGGCCTATTCGGTGCCAGACGGATCAGAGCGCGTCAGACCGGCCCGTGTCAGACTGACCACCCTTTCAGAGGTGAGAACTTCAACTTCTTTCAGCGGCATTGATCCAGACGTGGCACTAATAGGGTCAGTGAAACAAGATGGAAGCCCAGGGAAACAACACTACGGTACCCAATATGCCCTCTGATACTCGGGAACAGAGTACAAGGGCAGAGAAGGAACATGAGTGTGTGTGTGTGTGTGTGTATGTGTGTGAGTAGTGTCCAGTTTAAATCACACTGTGTATGTGTGCGAGACCCTGAGAGACTGGGAGGAATAACTCACTGCCCTCGAGTCAGACACCATTTAACACACTGACTCACTCATACACACAAACATAGAAACCCCATAGAAAGCTTCCATATGTGAATGTGTTTGAACTCTGTACAGGTGGAACTAGTATTCGATACTAGATTACAGATATAAATATGTGATATGTGCTCTCATATAGTTCTGTACGCACAGAGCGGTGGTTGACATGCGCAACATTCGACCTGGATATTCACTTCGCTCCGTCTTCGTATTTACAACATTTAGAAGTATAGATATTTGTTGTCATTTTTAAGAAAAATAAAATGTGTACATACAGTAGTTTACAAATCACCTCACATCGTACAATACACATAATAGTTCACTCATTCAAGAGCTTCTTCATTTTATTTCCCCTAAAACAAGGCAGTGTATCTCACCGACCGAGAGGAACCTCAATAAAACAAGGAAATAACAGTACGTGATCCATAACTGTAGTGTCGGATGAGAGGTATATATAGCTGCGTGGCCATGGTAACAATGGACATGGGCTATAGTTATAAATATAGATTTGTTGATAACACTTTAGAGTAAGGTTTAATTTGTCAGCATTGGTTAATGCATTAGGTATCATGAACTAACTTTAAACAATATGCCCACAGCATTTATTAATCTTAGCTAAAGTCAATGTTGACATGTTAATTTATGAACTTGAAATGTATGTATTATGAATTAACAACAGTATATTAATAAATGCTGTTAGTTCATGATAACTACAACTAATATTAACAAATTGAACCATATTGTAAAGTGTTACATATGTGGCACACCATCACTTCATAAGTTTAACAATATATTTAGTTGAATCCTTCTTTTCCGGCAGGGTTTAAAGTTCACGGTGAATAAGGATGTGACCCTGACTCGCTGTTTTATTACTACAGCAATCTGCTACATTGTTTTGTGACTAAATGCATCAGGAAATTGTACATGTGCAGGGAAAACGGTAAAATGTGCTGCCATCTCTTCGTGACTAAATGTATTGTGGGTGAGAACGAACACATAATTCATTAATATTTGATTTGATTAGCCCCGAAACCAAATGATTCACTGGTGAGTCATGTCACTCACGGGATTGAGATATTGAGTGAACTGTACACGTCATCTCGAGACAGATGAGCACTGTGCATGTTTGACTCTTTCATGATCTACACAATACATAAGGATAGCTTCCATAGAACGTGCTGAAAGAGAGATGTAGCGCCGAGGAATGTGCTCCAAACAAACTCAATTAAAATCAAGTTTGAAACTGGTTTAAGTGTGAAATCATGATCAACAGAACATAAGAACCTGTTAAAACAATTACATAACAGCACAGTGGATTTATATACATAACTTCATGTGTGTGTGTGCATGTCATATATAGCACGCAGAGTCAACATCTGCAGTTTCATATTACTCAGAACTTGTCCCCATGACAACCAGAGCAATAATTAGGAATGGAAGCCTGACAGTTTTGCATTTAGTAGTCTCTATTTACTTCACCCGATCCTTCAATGTTTTAATCTGTGCTATATCCAGCGTATTAATTCATCCATTCATTAACTCATTCCATCCATTAATCCTTTTCTCATGGTGTTTGATGCCGTAATTTGTTTTTACAATAAAATTAATATTCGTTGAGAGGAAGAAATGCAACCTTTCTGGAAGAGGTCCACGTTCACCCTTCAAGAACCTCTTTCTGCTCTCCTCTTACACATAGACAGCAGTCCGAGAGATCACAGAGCCATCCCTCTGGGACTCCATGTCATCATCTATGTCATCTTCATGTGGGCGGAGCTGTAGGATGGGTCCAGCCCCACTGAAATGGTCATATCGCTCATCCTCTTCTTCCAGTTCATCAAATTTCTTCCTTTCTACCTCATCCATCTCTCTACTAAGCAGGATATCCTCCGCTGTGTGAGTGCGCGTGGTCTCGAGCAGAGCCACGCCCCCCGGATGCATGCCCTGATTGGCCGTTTTCTCGTTAAGCCCCACATCTCCTCTGTAAATGGGCGTGTTGTTGTTCCCGTTGTTTCCGGTACCGTTTTTGCTTGACTTGGCAGAGCCAAAGAGGCGGGTAAAGGAGTCGTAGGGAGCACCGGTTGGCTTGCCGGTGCCGCGGTAACCATGCTGTTGGCGGCGATTATGGGCTACCAGGAAGTAGGCGAGGACACTTAACAGTACGATGGCCAGAAGACACGCGAAGATCACGCCTGCGATCACACCTGCATTCGAGGAGGGAGGTGATTGCTCTAGAGACAGAAAGGTCAAAAAGAGAGAAAAGAAAGGAGAACAGAATTAGATTCATGGAAAGGAAATGGAAATTAAATGTTTAAAGAAAAATCAAAACCAAAAAGAGATTTGTTGCCTTTCGGTCCATGTCTATTAGCGCTGAAGTCATCTTCAGCAGACTAAAAATATTGATGACTCATCCTGTGCTACAGAGATTTCTGTCCAATCAAATGCTCTCTAGAATAAAAAATGTCCTGCCCCCTAAATTAAAAATGCCACCTGCAACTGACTAGCAAGTACCAAATCTTGGTTCATGTCAAGTGAAACATAAAGGGACCAGCCCTTTGATATGTTCTATAAAAGTGGAGATTTTGATTCAAGTGACTTCAATCGTTTGAACCGTTCAGTAAAAAGATTAATTCGGTGACCCTTTTAGATAAGTGTCAACAATGGTTTTTTTTTTGTGATATGAATGATTATTTAAATAATTCACCTTAACAAGTTCGTTAATAGACACCAACATATCTTATTACCCTTTATTGAAATTTGTGTATACAAATTTTACAAATTAAATTTTTTTATAACCCTTTTTCTCTACTTTTTGTGAACGAGACACGAGATGCCAAACTGAACAAATGACATGGCCGACTCTAAGTTGGTCAGTAAATTCTCGGTCACAAGCAAGATTCATTAGTTCATTCAAGCCCTAGTTCTTCAGTTCGTTCATGTGATGGCTCCTTCAATGTGTTCCCCAGAGTCTTGTTAAGACTCCAAACAGACACTCGTTCAGTTAAGAGCATATTTGTTTAGTGCATCCAACAACAACAAAAATATCATAGTCAGTGCAGTGCAATTTTTTCACTTAAAAGATGAATTCAAAAACACTGAATCATTCACAAACATCTAAGTGTTTTCATGGGGTCTTTACGAGGCCTAGGGAAAAATTATTTCCAGTTTCTCACACACAGTCCATGAATAAACTTAAATGTCTGTGTATAGCCCTATTCGGATGGGACTAGTTTTCGTGGATTATTACGTTAGAGAAATTTGTGTTTCACAGGCATACTTTGTGATTTTAATTTTAAAACCTTTTGTGCACCAAACTTTCACATGCTTACATTTTCATTTCAATACGGATGGAATCCGTATTAAAAAATAAAATTATAAAATTAATAAAAGAGCCAAATCGCGCCCATTTTAATATCAGTGTCAGGTAAGATACTTGTCTAGATTTCTCTGTTCACTTATGTGGGTTTATTATAAACAGCCACTTCTATAAACCAATGTGAAGTTTGTGTTTAAATAGGGTTTTAATAATAAATTAAAAAGGTATATCAACAAGTAATTCATTAAAAACATAAATCACGTCTAGAAAACACACACTCTCACCTCTGTAATAAACACGGATGTTAGTCCGTCCGAATCGGTACATGAAATCACAGACGACGGGTGATAAAAATTGTAAGTCAAACATCGTTTAGAAAACTAGTCCAGTCCGGCTTATGTTGAATGAATGTGGGAGAGTGACATTTATGTGCAATTCCTTAAGGGGAACTGCTTTCCATAAGGCCAGTTTGCAGAATTCACAATTACAACTGCACAATGAAGAAGGAAACACAGCACCAGCATGCAGTTTCACATAAAACAGAAAAGAAAGGATGATGGACAAAGGGACGGATGGGACTGGTTGACGGATGGATGAGAGGAAGGAAGGCATAAGAGAGGAGGCTGGGACTGACAGGGGAGGCAGCAGACAGACGCATCGGCCTTGAAGCCACAAACACACAACAGCGCACAGCTTCTTCCTCACTGCCCAGCGAATGCGTGTATGAGATGAGTGTGTGAAGACGTGACTAGCATTGCTAAAAGAGAGCAGTGGATGTGTTAACACCCAAAATAAACAACATCATAATCTCGAACTCTTACGTTTTTCATCGATCGTCACCGTCTTTTCTTGTGCATCTTGCACAGACACCGCTAACGGGAGAGACAACAGGAACACAATCATGTCTGACTGCCTCAGTCGCAATGTTCCCGTTAGCCACCCACTGTGGCGTACTTCTCTCTCCCACACACACACCTCCACCTCCCACTGGTTCAGCAGGAGTGAGCGTGTTGTTCTGATCTTTGAGTCAATCTCTCACTGCCTGTCTGAGTCCTCTGAATTATACATGACAGTATGATCATATAGCGGCCACACACACCCACGGATCTACATGGCTTCATTATCGGAAGATTTCACGCTCACACACAGCCACGGAGGGGTGCTTGCCCGTGCCGAAGTCGTAGTCACAATCCCAGGGTGTTGGCACACAACCCGAAAAGGTGTTCTGAGTGGTTTTCAGCATGTTGCTATGCGATTTCTAGGGCATTCGGAGTGGTTTCTAGCAAAGGCACTGACCAAGAAGCACCAAAATTTGAAGTAGTACCGAATCCATAATCTGTAACAAAGGCAATATTTGTATGCATGTTTTCTTCCCCATAGGAAGTTATTAAGGGGGCATGATCCATTTTTGGCTGCATCTTTTTGATCTTATTTTGTATGATTTATCCAGGCATAAATTTTTTTTTCCTCATAATTTTTAATTAAATTGTTATAACTTGACCTTCCGGTGAAACAAGAGACTTTTCGATAAACAATTCACTCCGTTATACGTCATTATTTGGAAGAAAGATCTGCTGCTACTTCTGTTACATCACGACTTCAAAAGTTGCTTAAAGGGATAGTTCACCCAAGCCTTAGCGAACACCACTAATTATATTGTATTACCACTAATGTAGTCTCTTCATCTTTCTCTAAGTACTGGCAGTATATTAATAAATGTACATATTAGCGCTCTGAAAGACTCTAAGTGAATGGCTGAGTGGATGAATGAAGCTCATGGAGCTTTTCTAGACAGATGAGACCCAAAAAAATAAAATAAATCACATCCTCTCTTTTCTTTTTTCCGTCACACCACTGGACGGGAGAGAGCAGGACAAGGCAGAGGAATAGATTTTTTTCATGATAGCTGGATGGAGAATATGACAAGAGTCTCTAGAGTTGAAAATGAATGATGGAGGAGAGAGAGAGAGAGAGAGTGAGAGAGTGGGGGTTGAATCTAGGTTAGCCTGAGAGCAACATGAGGCACAGTGTTGAGAAACGATTTGGATTCGAAGTTGGATTCCTGCTCTGGCTCCAGTGGTGGAGCTACAAAACATGCTCCGAGGTATCTCTGTACCGCTCTCGTGCTTTCAGGAGGAACACCGAGACAAGATCTGTGCGGGCCGACTTTAGTCACCATGGAGATAGTTGCCGGGGGCGAAAACAGCCACGCGGCCGAGAAGGTAGTGGCCATTTCATGGCTGTCAAAACGGCTGCACTTAAGCAGAACCACTTCACGGCTAACCAACACTTCCCGCGGCGCTCCACAAAACATATCTCCTCTTGCACCTGATTCCTCCACTACATGCCGCGAACGCCAACTGAACACAACACAGCCTGGCTCTGCATTACGGGGCTGATTAGCATTTCCCTTCCGCTCTTCCTTTGACAGAGGAGGATAAGAGGCCGGGAGCTGAAACAGCAGTGACTGACTTATCCTCACCGAGAGCCTCTTGTGGGGGGGGAGATGGTCGGAGAAGGAGGGTGGGTAGCAGTTTTGGAAGGCACAGAAGTGGCTCAGGCAAACAAAACGAGAAAGTTTGAAGTGAAGAGGATGAAAGTGATGCGAGCGGAAGAGGAGAGGAGAGCGAGAGGATGCACGTGCGATGGGAGAGCCGTAGGTTCCCAGGGGGGTTGAAATGCCTCCAGCGTTCATCCGCTCCACCCTCCTCGTTTAGTTCAATCTCTTCCTGCTTGCCCTTTTCTCTTGTTTTCACTCCATGAGAATATGGGAGGGACCAAAATTGGTGGGAAGGCAAGATGTTGTCAGTTAAGTGTTTGGTAGGGGAATGTACATTTCCAAATGAGCAAAGATTTGCCTCAAAGCCACACAGATCTGCAAGGACACGTATGTAAGAGAAAGAAAGAGAGAGAGAGAGAGAGAGAGAGAGAGAGAGAGAGAGAGAGAGAGAGAGAGAGAGAGAGAGAGAGAGAGAGAGAGAGAGAGGATAGCAAGGGGAATGGAGGAAGGTAGGAGGCTTTTAAAACCCAAGTTGTGAGAGAAAAGCACCTTTCCTCCACATCACCTAAGAGCTATTAGTCTTGCTCAGCACTAAAGCAGCTCAGTCTCTCCGCAGTCAACCATGTGGATATTTTATTCCATCAGCCTGTCACAGGACATCAGATCGGGCCAGAAAAAGCCAGAAGAGGACAATTTTGCACCCAATGACGGCTATCAAACGTAGCGCTCACTTTGGCCATAAAGCTATGGGAAGGGCAGGAGTAGTTTACCAGAGGTCACAAATCGAACCCACCCCCACCTGAATACCAGTGATAAAGTCAAAGTTGCCATATTCAAAAAAATGTATAAGTGAATAAAAAAATAAAGATAAGATAAAGGAAGAATCCTAATGGAATCAAATAAGAATACTTTAACTTTGATTTTGTCAATAAAGACCAGATGAAACAAATGCCCCATGATTACAATTAAATGACATTCATGAAAATATTAAGAGAAAATCCAATCATATTATGTTGGGTTATGATAGCCCAACTAAAACACCTGACCGTTTACTAGTGGGTCCAGTCGCTCACTCAAACGCATTTTATACAACGTCAAAGGTTTGGGCTCAGTAAGAATAAAAAAATAAAAAATAAAAACTTTCATTCAGCAAGGACACATTCAATTGATCAAAACTGACAAAGACTTGTGCATTGTTATAAAAGTAAATGCTATTCTTTTATATTTTCTATTCATCAAAGACTCTTGAAAAAACAGTTTCCACAAAATTATTAGGCAGTAAACTAGAAAACAGCTAATTTTAACTGTAATACTATTTAACACTATTAATGATTTACTGTATTTTTGATCAAATAAATGCATCCTTGGTGAGCATAAGGGACTTCTTTCAAAAACATGAAAATCTTACCGACCCAGTGTGCGAGTAAGCTATAACTACGACACAATTTCTCGCATTGTGAAATTGCTTTAAAATCATGCAGCAGCAAGTGATATAATACCTTCAACACATTGACTTTATTTAAAGGATTTTTTTCTGAATATACAAGAACTATGATTTAAACAGAAAACTGCGTCAAAACACTGTTCAAAAACACCCAAATACAGCTGCACTCAACCTAACCCCACCCAAACACAGTTACATCTGCAATCACACACTCCTTTCTTCGGAAAACGTCCTTTAGAATTCTACAGAACCTGTCTCACATTTTCCAGATCAACAAAAGTCTCAGACTAAATTAGAAACGCCACCATAGAGTCAGGAACAGCTGAATGCTGAGGGATGACAGTGCATGCAAGGTGATCTTGAGGACAAATAGAGTGACGAATAAAACAAACATACAGACAATGAAAGTGCCAACAAACTGCCTTATGTCTGAACTGTAACCCCTTGTCTGAAATTGAGTCTAAATTTCCAACTAATTCCTCTGTCACCACCTCAAACTCACCACTGTATAAATGTGTGAGGGTCCTGTTATGAAATACTATAGACAGACTCACCCCTCACGAAGACGGTGATTTGATCTCTGGCGTATCCCAAGCTGTTCCTGACCTCACAGATGAAGGTGGTATTTATTGTGTCATCCACCTTCTGGACAGAGAGACGGTTTTCCTGCACCTGCACTGTTTCAGGCATCAGCCCGGACAAACTGTAGGACAACATTCAGATGATATTATCATAACCTTTCAGATAGAACTAAAACTTAAAAGACCTCATGACTATCAGCATTATGCCCGGTTCACTTTGCAGCTTTTTCTGGCCAAGAACCACCCACGTAGACAGGAAGAAGCCATCTGACTGACAACAGTTTGTTTTGTCATGCCGTTTAGAGGTGGGTTTATTTGAAATTATTGATACCGCAATAATAGACTGGCATTGAAAAAAAAAAAGTGTCAGAAGTTATTTTAAAGCCAGCTGATTCAGAATAGAGAGTGCCATATTGAGAAAGTGCTTTCCATTTTTGGGCTTGTAAATGGACAGTGGGCGGTTTGGTTGTGGCCATTATCTTAAGCCAGGTTAACACTCAAATTTTTTAAGTATTTTTCCAATATTGCTTGTCAGACTGTACGATATATTCCCATTGAAGTTTTGAGTAAAAGCCATGCTACACTGTGCAACATCAATGATACACATCATAGCCAAAACTTTGGTCCCAATCGTCCAATTGACATCTCATAGAAGTCACCACACTGTGCGACTGACACTGACTGAACTTTGTCTGATACGGAGATTCTTTGCATAGGCTAGGGGTGTCCTGCTCCTGAAGGGCAAATGTTCTGCAGAGATTAGCTCCTACCTGCCCCAACACACTTGACTGGAAGCTTTTAGTAATCCTGAAGACATTGATTAGTCCAGGTGTGTTTAATTAGGATTGGAGCAAAACTCGACTGGAAGGTGGCTTTCTAGGAGCAGGACTGGACATCCCTGAACCAGCCAATCAAGATCACTAGAGACTTCCAGGCAGGTGTGTTAGAGCTAAACTCTGCAAGTAAGTGGCCCTTCAGGAGCAGGTTAGGACAACCTTGCACAAAGTGATCAAAGCCTGCAGATTTTGCCCTATTAAGTCTTTTACAATCCTAGAAAAACAGCAAAAAGGTGCCTAAAATTCTACAGTGTAAACCCGACTTAAGGCTCAGACTAAACAGAACTGAAAGTGAAAAGAAATGCTCACGTTTTCCAGGTGACAGTGGTGGGGTGGGGGTTTCCATCAGACTGACAGGTCAAAAACGCACTTGTCCGGCCCCTGTACCAGTTGTTATCGTACCCAACGATCTGCACCTGGGGAGGATCTGATAAAGAAAGAAAGACAGAGTGAATAGGTGGATCGAACAACTAGCCTTTATGAATGAGTTTAGCCTTGCACCATTGAAGTCTGATGTAAATCGAACACTGATACGGTCTGTCAGCTGACTCCATGATGACCTCATTGACCCTTAGCTCATGTGTCTGGTCCAAGCAGCACTGTAAAGCCTCAGGGTAATTTGCTTGATGACCTTTACTAATTTCTGGCATATTCTGAGACACATTACTGGCCTGGGCCGATTGAGACATGACTCACTACAGCAATTATCAGCTATAGCAACAGGGAATGCTTAGCGTAACAGCGAATGCTTAGCGTAACAGCATTTGGATCAGTAGTAAATGGTCTGATTGATATCTTACATTCAACAACAAGTTTCATCGGGAAGGTGTCAGGCTTGGACATGGTACGGTGTGACACTATGCAGCTGATGTCTTTGCCATTATCCGCTGGCTGCGGAGCCAGCATGTAGGTGCTCTGGACGGTGACCGTATTATCCGCATTGTCCGTCTTCATCGGCGTCGACACATTTCCGTTAAGCGCCGTGGACCAAGAAATGGTCGCTGCCGGACGGCCATTGGATGATTCACACCGCGCCACAATGACCGGGGTTGTGCCGGCAGTAACGGTGACAGTTGTAGCCATGTTCTTTGGTTTAGCTGTGAGAAAGAGAGAGAGTTTGACCTTTATTTGATGCTATAATGTGAAGGAGGGTAAGGGAGGATGAGAGGAGGAGGGGAGGAAGTGGAGACGGGAAGATCACAGATCGGCTTGTCCTGCCACGCGCTAGCACAGCGCTCACATTGTACTCACGTTTCGCTCTGAGAAAGACATCAAAGAGAGGGAAAGGAGAAAAGCAGGGGAGACGGGGAACGACAGGGAAGCGACGGCCTCTCAGCATGATAAGCAGGCAGATCAATAGCGGAGAGAGAGAGAGAAGGGAGGGGGGCGAGCGAGCGAGAGCCCGGCCAAGGTTACTGCCACATTTCACACACATTAACAGCAGCACAATTGATCTGACAATACCATTTATAAATCCCCTTTAAGCCCACAAACGGACACAGACGTGAGTCTGAGTATGCGTACACACACATACTCTTTGAAGCAGAATAAGGCTGAAACTTTAATTAATTTTATACGCGACCAAGCTGTCACTTGTGTTTTAAATCAAAATCGCTTTTTTAACTTTTTTTTATTAATATATTATTAATTTTAATAACAATATATATAATTTTATGAATGCACACTAGGCATAGTGCTTATGCTATACACACAAATGTACATATAAATCTCATTACATATTCATCTAATCAATAATACAAATTTGTTGTTGAAATTTTTTTCGTAAATCTTTAATTATTTAACTGATTATTTGTTGCAGCTCTTCAGCAAAGCCCCAAGTTTTAATGTTTCTTTTCTCCTGTGCAAACAAACACACACACACTCACTCACCCAGCATGACCAGTGAAGACACTCCCTGTTCGTTGCCGGAAGGGTAGGTGGCATATTCACAGATATATCGTCCCTCATCTGTCATCTTCACATCTGTAATCTGAATGGATGGGTTTTCCAAAGTGGGCGGGTCTGTTACAAAACGGACACGCCCATATAGAGGGGATTTGGTAGGGTAATTTGCCCCAAATTTTGGATGGAAGACTGCGATGTTGGTTCTCTCTACGTCAGTCTGTTCAAAGATCCATGACACCTGTATGCCAGAGGAAACAAATCCAAACTAAATTCAGCAGGTGACCAGCAGATGATTACAGCACATAAACACTTTCAGAAAGTTCTTACTACAAGCCCAACAAACAAGTTCTTTCTACAAACTCTTGTTCGTTTGGGTTCCACAGCTCTGCCTAAGACTGGCAGGTAACATGAAGTTGATTTCAGACCTGAGTGAGCTGATTTTCGCCTGGATTCGGAAACTGGCAACGCAGTGTCACAGCCTGACCAGGATATGACTCGACTTCTGCATCCACCCTCACGCGCTGAGCCAAAGACCCTGGAAAGAGAATGAGAAAAGGCCATGAGAACAAGAAACAACCTTCACTTCTGTCCGGCTAAATTCAGATGACCCGCGACCACCTCGCCGAGCGCAGCCAGAGAGAAATTTAGCACATACTGGAGTAGTCTAGGAGTTCAGGGATGACAAAATGAGAAATGATAAATGAGGTTACAACCAAACAGCAAGTAGGCCAATGTTTCTGATCTCAGCCAGGGTGTGCGAGAGGGTGCAAATCTAAATGTGAATGTGTGTGTGCGTGCGCAAGCGTGTGTGAAAGTATCTATGAAAAAATAACATTCAGCTCGCTCTCTGCCTGAAGCATTCATCATCCAACACAACCCTGACAGAGCAAATTCAGCAGCACACGAGTGTGTCCGTGTGCGCACGCACCCAAAACACAGTAAAGTACCATGGGAGTATATGTCAGAGCCTTTCCGACTTGCAGAGTCTGGCAGAGTTTGAGATTCCAGCTCGCAACATTTCCCGATCCTCTCACTACAATGTTTGCAGTTTACAGTTAACTCTTGTGAATACCTCTTAATAAAAAAAATTAAAATAATTTGAGGATGAACCAAGAACCAAACAAATGCAACTAAAAAGTCAAAATTATTCATTCATAAAAAATGAAATCTTGTTCAACATGGTGTATGAGAAAAAGAAAAAATATGCATATGATTATTCTTTAAGTTTATTTCTATGATTAATCCTTTTAAACATTATTCTTGTATTGATCCATTTATGCTTTTTGTCTATTGCATCTTTTAAAATCACATACTCATAGTTATACTCATATTCAAATGTTCTATTCAGACCAGACATTTAGTATAGGCCTACTTCTACTCTGACAAATGTACGTCTATTTCTGGGCTAGATATGCTATTAGTTTTTCCCTTTTCTGCTTAGTCTGGTATTCTGTCTAATATGTGTGGTATCTTGTTTAGTTTCACAGGAGATGGTTATCTTATTTGGAATTAAGGTACAGCTTGTATTTGCATAAAGTCTAGTCATGATGGAAATACTTATTTGGCCATTTCTGCTTCTTAGGGCTGGTTCACACAGAAAGCGGTTTTGCTTTGAAAACGGAAAAAGTGTGGAATGGGGAAAAAGCGCAAGGCCTCGAGACTTTTAAAGGTTGAACTTATTTTATGTCATGTGCGAAACGATGCCAAATACGCGAGACTCGAGCGCAATGGTCAATACATTGAAAAATAAAGTAACGCAGTGGAATGGAAAAAAGTGATTTTCCGGTACAGGATGAGAGCTTATTAATTACGAAAACTATTATTTATTTTTGCTAATTATTATTTTATTTCAGGTAGTTTTTCATTAACTGATGTTAGTTTCGTTTAGTTTTAGTTTTTCAATTATGTTGAAATTTCTATTTTATTTCAGTTTACTGAAAATGTTTTTTGACCAATAGTTTGTCTCTTAGTTTCAGTTTTCGTTTACGAAAATAACCTTGGATACTGAAAATGTATTTTTTTATTTAAATTAAAAGTTATGTTCTGATCTATTATTCTCTCATATACTGTTATATTTTTCAATGATTCAACGACATTAGAAAATTGAAACTATTGCAGGTGTTTTTCATTGCACATTTTTCAATTTAACAAAATCTTTGTCTTTATTTTTAGTGAAATTATTTGGTAGGGGAGATTTTTTTAATGGTTTAAAGGGGGCGTGACCAAAAAAGTTTGAGAACCACTGCTCTGCAATGATTTTATAAAAGTGGCAAATCTACTGCATAAAGGTTTCAAACTCGTTCATAAAACATTTACTGTTGATCACGAAATTTGCGGTTGAAATAATGTCATTTCAACAGGGATTTGTGCGAGATTTACCCACACAGATTTCACATTAGGTTCTAGTTGGTCACATGAGTTTGCAGCATTCGCACCAAAAGAGAACTGCTTGGTTTGAAAGTGACTTCTGTGTGAGCTGTGCTTCATGCATCACTACACTACTGACAATAGAAAATGGAACAATTTCTCTAGTGTAAATGAGCTTAAGAGTGAGACCGGAATGAAAAAAACCCTACAGTATCATAGGTATAAAACTAGTTAGACCAGTTTGTCTGCTAACCAGCTGAAAAGACTGAAACTCGCAAATTGAAAAAAAAAAACACCGCCACGTCAAAACTGTGAAGGTGAGAAAAGAAGGAAAGAAAAAGGTATCAAGAGGAACCTTAAAAAAGTAAACATGTTTTATGAGAACTCTCAATTGCTTCCTTATTTTTATCTGGAACATATGGTTAAAAAGTCCACAAATATGAGATAAAAAATTTCTAGGTCACTAATTTGTGACATTGATCATTTGACTCTGTCCAGACCATCAGATGTTTTTCAATTGAAGCTCAAAATTGCAGAGTTCATACAACTTGAGTGCTGTAGTTGTCATTAAAGCAAAAGAGGAAACACAAATACTAAGACTGTAATGCTAATAATAGAAAAATGTGTATAAAAAGATATATATATTTAGACAAACTGAAGCATGTTTTTCCCCACTAGTGGTCTTGTGGACCCCACCGTATCTCTTTTTTGTCTTCCGCAGGTGCTCAAACTGAGACAAGTGTGTGTGTGTGTGTGTGTGAGAGACCACCGAGGCGATTACTTCTGAGCCTGCGTTTAGCACCGCTGAGCCCTGTTATTGAAAATCTCCCTCTCGCCGTCTCTCTCTGGATGGAGAGTGTGGATAGGTCATTACACTGATGTGTAGAGGTAGTCAGCGGTCCATCAGAACGCTAAACACATACACTTCACACCTTAACATACAGCAGCACGGTGTGTAAATAGAAAGAAGGGAAGGGGGTAGAAGATAGAGAGATTCAATAATAAACTGAAAGCACAGGAGAGATGCAGACAACCCCCGTCAGTGTAGATGGTGTTTTGGAAAGCCATTTTCAATGCTTTCAATCATTTGAACCAGGAGGTTTCAAACTGGGATGTAAAAAAAATGATAAAAACAATACGTTGTACTACATTTCCACTTACTAAACTGAATGTTGTCTGGACATTTTAGCGAGGGTATCCATCATAAGAGGATATATTTGGGGGGTCCTTTGAAAACCCCTGTACTGAACAATCGGCACAGTTACACAGCATTACATCCCATTAAAAACACTATCCATCAACTGTTACCATTTGTATAAAATTAAATACGGCATCTGCCCGTATTAAGGTCCAAAGCGGCATGTTAAACACAATGAAAGACAGAGGCTGTGTGTCAACTGTGTTTTCTCTGTGCTTGCCGCCTGCAGGTGACATGCCACACACACACTCAGTTTATGTAAATCACACACCACCATTCGGAGGCCTGTCACCCATCATCATGTCACACACACACACAGAGAGAGAGAGAGAACACCGCTGTCTTAAATCTAGTGAGCTCCTGCTTCTCATCCCTCCAACCTGGGAGAAAAACTGTTCAGTGCGGACAGTGACAGACGAGTGCCCAGAATGAGAGTTTAGATGGCAGACAACGCGCTGTGACTACCAATTGCATGTGTGTGTGTGTGTGTGTGTGTGTGTGTGAGTGAGTAGACCTTCATTTTATATCGCAAGGACAGATGACGGAGCATTCAGGTTCTGTCCGCAGAGCTTATTATCGCTCACACTCACACATAATCGGAGTAAATGCGTGGTTTGCAGGAAAACGGAGATGTCCAGTGGGTGAATGAGAAACATTCATGACACAGCTGATGTGCAGAAAGGAATAAAGATTGAGGGGTGGGAACAGATGGAGACGAACAGCTGGAGGGGGTCTGTGGGGAGCGTGGCCGTGCGTGTGTTAGGCTAGCGCGTACAGTAAACATGTTTATTTGCATACGCAGATGTCTGGAAGTGTGAAACTGTACCTTCTGTTTTTGGGGACTTTTTTCAGTTTTTATTGATAGAGACAATAGAGAGGAGACAGGAAAGCTGGGAATAAAAGGGACCTTGGCTCAAAGACGCAGGGTAAATTCAAACCGTGTCCCCCCAAATGAGCACCAAAGATCAATGCCTGCATCTAAATAAATACACTGCAAAAAATCTTTTTTAACATTGATAATAATAAGAAATGTTTCTTGAGAAACAAATCAGCACATTAGAATGATTTCTGAAGGAAAATGTGATCCTGAAGACTGGAGTAATGATGCTGAAAATTCTGCTTTTCCATCACACAAATACATTTCAATTTAAAATATAAAACAGTTATTTCAAATGGTAATGATATTTCACTATATATCTGTTTTTACTGTATATTTGATCAAATAAAAGCAGCCTTAGAGAGCATAAAAGGTTTCTTTCAAAACCCCAAACTGTTTAACAGCAGTGTGTATTGCATCTTACAATTTTGCAAGTAAATTTTTCTTATTTTAAGTAAGTTTCTTACTGGAAACCAAAACAAAAATGCAGTATGCAAAGTGCAGCATGTCAAAAGACTGGATGTCAGATGTCCCAATGCTCAGTATTCATGAAACAGTAGGTGAACAATCCCCAGGTGACTTATTGCATCTGCTAAGATTCTGAAGTGTGCTACCAGTGGACACTTTCCTATCCCATGAGGCCGCAGGAGATGAGAAGCCATCAGATTAAAAAAAGTATAACAAAAATAGTAGAGAACTCAGGCTGAAGGATAGGTCTGTATTTCTTTCTTCTGAACAGAAAAGAAGATATTTTGAAATGTTGGTTACCAAACAGGTTACCATTAACTTTCATTGTATAGACAAAAAAAACACACAAAAAAACAGGCATTTCTCAAAATATATTTTTATGTTCCTCAAAGGAAAGTTAGTCATATAAATTTGGAACAACATGATAGTGAGTAAATGATGAAAGAAATTTGTACTTGTTATATTATGCTTGTTTAACCCCCTGGGGTCGGCTATCGCGCCGGCGCGATTGTCTCCCTTTTTTTTTTATCAGTGTAAAAGAGACTCAAAATACTCGGTTAATTTTGATCTTACATATAAGTGTTGTACATCATTAGATCCTGTTAAGTTTCTATTTTTTTTTGTG